TCCTGCTGTGTCCACTGAGTGCCCGGGAAGGGGCTGCGTGGGAGCTGAGCAGAGGACGTGGGAGCCCGGCGCGACACCACTGATGCCTGAAACCATGCTGTCCCCAGCGCCACCCGCCCACTTCTTATTCATTCATTCATCTCTTTACCATTTCACCTTGCCGAGCACCTACTGTGTGCCAGCAACGGCTGCACAGTAGGGAAAGGTGGTAGGAGTGAGGCGCTGCCCTCTGCCTGAAGACAGAGGACCAGGACAGAGCAGACAGCTCTTCACCTGCTGACAGGGCCCTCACCGAGCGAGAACCCCAGGAAGAGGCCAGACTCGAATCTCTTTGTAGCTTTTGGACAAAAAAAAAAGATGATGAATTTGTAAACAAATGACAAGTCGGGGGCTGGGCTGGCCCGGCCAATGGGAGGCTGACCACTCGGGCAGGCGTCTGTCCAGCTGATCCCCGCGCCCCGGCTGAGAGCACGTTCCCGGTTCCCAAGAACCAAGTGGCACATTGGGGAGAGCATCGTCAGGCCAAGAGTGGAGGACCCCAGGACCTGGCTTCACCGCGTCCAGACAAGGACACCTGCTTTGCTGATGGTGATAAGGCCAGGGACAGGACTGAGGGGCCAGCGGGAGGGGACTTCAGATGGGGTGGCCAGGGACAGCCACACCCTGAAGTGACATCTAGGTCATGACCTGCAGCAGGGTGGCAAGGCCCCCTCAGCCCTGCGAGAGGTGCAGTTGTCACAATCCACCCCAGCGAGCTCCGAGGGCCCAGGGGCTGGCCCAGGGCACAGGGCTGCCCGCTGAGCCACCCCACCCGCAGCACCTGGCGGGCACCTCCCTCTGGCCAGGTCCTGGGGCCCTGGGTCTGGTGTCCTGGGCTGTGTCCCCCGCTCACACGCTGGGGACAGGGTGGTTTCGCCGTGGACCTCCTTGCCCTTGGCCTGGGCACAGGTGGGAGACCGTGCGGAGCCCAGCAGGACTCGCCCAGGGTGAGCCTGGGGGTGCTCCTCTGTGGACAATGAAGTGACGTTTTAATTACAAGCAAAGTACCTGCTGCCCCTGGGTGAGCACGGGCGGGTGTGGAGGGGGCACCTGGGCCCGGAGGGTCTCACCTGGTCCCAGCACGGCAGATGAATGGTGCCCTTCTCTGTCACACGTGCAGCCAGGATTGTGCCCAGGTGACCCCCCGCCATGCCACCAACAGACCCTGACAGTGCTTCTGGGGTTCTGTGCCAAGGGGCAGCTCGTGCCCCCCTGCAGCCCCTCCATCCCACCCTGAGCCTGCTGGGACAGGGCAGCGGGTGTCCACTGAGACTAGGTCAAGGGCTCCCACCGCGGTCAGCCTTGGACAGGAGCGGCCATCTGCTGGGACAGGGCTGCAGGGAGGTCTCAGCCGGGGGCCTCGGGCACCCGCAGAGCAGAGAGCCCAGGGCAGAGGTGGCCAGAGGGGCACCAACACGCGCTCCTCGCCCCAGGACGCCGCTCCTCGCCCCGGGACACCGAGTCTCTGGCCCCTCTGCTGGTCCTTCAGGCCCCTCCCTGCACCTCCTCCTGGCCGAGTCCGGCTGCTGTCCAGGCCCAGAGGGAGCTCCCAGGGCACAGCCTGCTGGCCACAGACCAGTGTGGCCTGGAGGCCATGCCCAGCACCTGGCCCCAAGTGCACGGGCAGGATGGCCTGGTGGGCACAGACCTGGAGCCAGAGGAGGGGCTAGGATTCTGGCCTGGGGCTGCCACGCTGAGAGGTGAGCGCCTGCTGCATACACGGCCTGGCCCTGGGAGAGGAGGGGCCCTGAGCTGCTCTTGGTCCAGAACGTCACTGGAGGGTGGGCACAGATGGTGGCTGCTGCCCCCCAGCCCCACCAGCAAAGCCCGCCCTCTGCGCCCCCAGCCCTGAAAGCTTCCTCCTGTTGGCCATGTCCTTCCCCACGACCTCTGCCCACAGCTGGCCCCTCTGCCCTGCAGTGGTCTCAGCACAATGGGGCTCCCAGGACAGATGGCAGCCCCAGCCCAAGGCACGTCCCCCACTTTCACATGAAAATGGGGGAGTCAGCAGACAGATGTCCACCAAGCCGGCCTCCCCGAGCACCATGGCCCCAAGGCCACGACCCTGCCAGGTGGCGCATCCCTAGACAAGCAGCCTCTGCCGGCCCCTCGCTCCCCGGCCTCCGGCCCCACCTGCCTCCTCCCGTCTGTTCCCTCCCAGCATCCCAAGGCCACAGTGGGGACAGCTGGCACCTGGCTGTCCAGCAGCCTCGGACGTTCAGACGTCCCTGCTTCCAAGGGACCCGCTGCCCATAGTAGAGAAGCAGGTGGCTGGACCAAGGAGAAGTGGCCCCAGGGAGCAGCCCCAGGGAACTCTGGGAACAGCAGCGGGTCCCCGTTCCCGGCTCTGCCCGTCCATTTACTCGCTCACTCAGCAGGTGCTGCGGAGCCTCAGGGGGACGGTGGCCACAGGGCAGCCCCTCAACAGTGGCTAGAGAATTGGGGCAAACCTCGTGGGGAGGCCCTGGCCAGCCTGGCTCGGGAGGGTCACTGCTGGGCGTGGTGGGCTGGGGTCCTGCCGGGTGGAAGCACTGGGATCTGGGTTCCAGCAGGTCCTGTGGCTGTGGATCTGCAGCGTCCCCAGTGAGGGCAGAGCGGGCCCCGGAGCCCAGCAGACAGGGCACCGCTGGCCAGTGTGGGCCTGAGGCCAGAGCCAGGCCCGGCCCTGCCTCCCCTGCGGCCAGGCCCTGTGCCCACTGCCCAGCCTGAACCAGGCTTCTCCACCCCCAGGGAGGGCTTCCAGCCTGTCCTCTGACGGAGCCCCCACCAGCACTCGGGGCCCAGAGAGGGGATGTGGCCTGCGCCCCCAGGAGCCCTCACCCCAAGGGACAGCAGCAGGGTGGGAGGGTCCCTCCAGCCAGGTCTCCTCTGCCAGAACCCAGCGGCTCCTTCTCTGTGGCCAGCACAGGGCCAGGGCCAGGACTGGTCACGGTCCCCTGGGGAAGCCCTACCTGCTCCTGGCCCCTGAGGAGGAGGGGAAGCCGATCCTCCTGCCGAGGTCCCGACTCTGCAGGGGGAGAGCAAAGAGCAGGAGCCGGGCTGCGGCCCTCAGGAGCCTCGGTCTCCTGTCTGCCAGCTGGGCCTGGAGGGGGACAGAGTCACCTGGGAGATCCGCTCCAGCCAAGTGTCCTGACGTCCAGCAGTGACCGGATGTCCCGGCCACTCCTCCAACACGGCCTCTCCCCGCCCCGTCACTCTGGGGAATCCCGTCCTTGTTGATGTCTTTCTTCTCCACTTTCCCAGCAGAGCGCAGGCTGGGAGCAGGGGCCCTGCCCACCGAGTCCCCTGCTGGACCCAGCAGGTGGGCAGGGCTTTGTTAGAATGACTGACAGGGGCCGTCCATGACCTTGGCCCTGCATGGGCTCCTCCCCTTGCTCCCCCATCACCAGCTCCAGCCACCTTGGCCTTGTTCCTGGGACACCTGGGGACACTCGAGCTGCAGCAGCTGCTCCTCGTGTCAGGTCACCTGTGCCTCCGCCAGGTCCCCACGTCAATCACCGCTCAGGCCACCCTGACCACCTTGCTACAACCGCAGCCCCCCCCAGCCTTCCCTGCCCTCCACTCCACCCCTGGTGGCTCTTCCCACAGCATCTTCTGAGACACTGACGGCTTCTCATCCCCACTAGAACCTCAGCCCCAAGAGGGCGGGGATGGCCTGCTCCCCGTCTTGCTGCCGCTCCACCCCATGCCAGCCTGGCCAGTGCACCCAGCGGGGGCGAGGGGGGGTCAGAGAAACTTTCTGAATGAATGAGTTGGAGGGAGACAAGGGAGAAGGCAGCAGGAGTAAGCCCAGAGGACTTCCTGGAAGAGGGAACTAGGTTGGGACGGATGGGTTGGGAGAGGCAAAGTGCAGGTCTCACAGGAGCCCAGAGCACCTCACAGGCCCGGGGCCCATAGGACCCGGCAGGTGCCATCTCTATGCCCTCCCACCCAGTGCTTAGACTGTGGGCCATTTGATGACAGCTCTTTGAAAATTAACTCAGAGTTTTATTCATCCTTAAATTCTTTAAAGCTGCAGATCAAACAGTCGCTGGTGCTGGCTCTTGTGTTGCCGATGACGGTGCTTGTTTGCATACCAAGCAGACCTTTCTCTCTCCCCCGGAAAATGAATTTCTTTTGGACTTGGTGCTCTAATTGCCTGGGCAGCAGAGGCAGGCAAACATCTTCCCCTCCTGATTTGCATTATGCAAAACCCTAATCTCCCAAGTTTCCTAAAGCCTTGAAGAGCGGAGGCTCCACAGCCCTCGGTGCCAGGAAGCGCACTGCTTGATCTGCCACCCGGGTAAGTGCGATTGACTGGGGGTGAAGGGCCTCGGTACGAGTAACTATTGGGAAATGATGACACACACACGCCCCCAGAGTGTATGTCCCATAAATCCGCTTCTTGGGGGGGGGAACGGAACCACTGGTCACACACGTATTGCCGAGCTGATGTCTATTGGTGCAATTACTAAGCTGAAGAGGAAGGTGATGTCTGATGGCCCGAGCGCCGGGCGACCTGTAGGTGGGGCTGGCCCTCCACGCTGACCTGAAGACGCATCCCAGGAAGCTGAGCAGGGAGCAGGGGAGGCTGCAGCAGGGAGAAAGGACATCCTGTTGCTTCCATCAGGTTTCACTTCCTCCTGTTTTCTGTGTTGTCCTGTCAGTGTCACCGCAGTGCCCTCAAACACACCCGCGGCGTCCACTCTCCAGTGGAGGTGACCCTCAGCCCACCGCCTCGGGTCTGCAAGTCCAGTTGCTGCCTGCGACTCCCTTTAGGTCAGTAAACTTTTGCCCAAAGGCCCACATAATAAGTATTTTAGGCTTCCTGGTCCCAGGTCTCTGGGGCAACCCATCGCTCCCACCCTGGTGTGACAGCAGCCCTACGCGGGCCACGTCTGGACACGTGGGCAGGACGGTGGCGCTGAGAGAAAGCAGTTTCCATAAACGGCTCGGCAGCTCTCACCCCAGCCTCAGGCCGTCTCTGCCTCTCCCTTTTCCACCCTCCGCCGATGACCACATGGAGCCAAGGCGAGGCCTCTGCTGTTAGAATGATTGGCCTCCTCTCCCGGCTGGACCCGAGCTCATCCAGAAACGGGAACCAGGGGTAGGGCTCCCACCTTTCTCCCTAAATAAGAAACTCAACCTACGGGCTCCTTTCAGCCCGTCCAGTCCCAACAGCCCAGGGTCATCGGCGTCTTGATGTTTCACACCATAGGAGGCATCGAGACTTTCTGAAGACGGTACGGTGGCCCAGGCGGGGTCAGCATGGGACAGCCAGCTGGCTGTTCTTCTGTCCATTTGGACAGAAGTTAAATCAGCAAAGTGCAGCTCCCCGAGCCTCAGCCGCTCTCCCTCCCTAGTGGTGGCAGCTCTCCTGGCTGCTCTCGAGCAGCTGGAGCCCACGGTACCAGGACGAGGGGACTCTTCCTGCAGCTGGAGCCCAAGGTCCGGGCAGCTACCGGCTGCTCTCCTGTGCTCCCTGCCGACCCCTGGCTGCCAGCCACCCTCGTAGGTACCGGCTCTCAGTGTGACCAGGTGGCCTGCTCTTCTCAAGACAGAGATCACAATCAGGCAAATAACCCACTGAGGTGTCGGGGTAAGTGCCCGAGGACTGACCTGGGAGGGAGAGCTGCTCATGTGGATTAAAATGGCGGCTCAGGATGTGCAGCGTCCCGCAGGCTAGAGCCGCAGACTTTCTGCTCATTCGTGGGAAGGGGATGAGAGTGGGACGTCTGAAGCAGCTCAGGGGGCTAGAGCCATCCAGAGAGGCCATGGGCAGACTCATCTGGATGGACACAAAGCCAATGTCCGTGGCTGCAGGCGCCTGGGCCACAGAGCTCCCCGAGACAGAGGAAGGGAGAGTGCACGGTGCCTGTGGGGAGCCCTGGGCGGCTGGAGGCAGGACGGGGACTGTGTGCTGTGGCTGGGACAGGAAGGCACAGCTGCGCTCCAGGAAAACGACACGTCCCCAGGTCTGACGCTGCGTGGGAGGCGTCGGGTGGGGTGGGGGTGCTCGACCACAAATAGCGCGTCTGGGACAGCGGCCACAATTGACGTCACCACCTGGTTATAGGTAAGGTCACTCTGCACCCCAAGTTAGAGGGGATGAGACACCCCTCCTGCACCCCTCGAGTCTCCGAGGCTGGGAGTCCCACACTCCCTCCCAGCTGCCCTCCTGGCTGGGGACTCCACTTGGACTTTACCCCGAGATTCTTCCTGTTGCCAAGAAACTGGTGGGTGGGACCCCAGACCTACCGGCCCACTGTGACTTGAACGTGGGTCAACGTCGCGTCCATCGCCCCACCTCGGTAGAGAGACTGGGCACGGGCTATGGCTCTTCACTGTGGTGGCCCTGGCCACTGGGTCTGGAGGTTTTCTAATAGGTGGATCCAGTTGCCTTTGGACAGACTCTGCTCACTTTGTTCCTAAGGTCACCTTGATGATCACTCCATTGCAAAAGGTCCCCTGAGGTCTGACCTTCGGTTCTGCTGGCTCCATCGTCCCAGGGACGACTTCTGTCCTCCTGGAGAGCAGGGTGAGTGTGCCGCCTTGTCTGTAGGGGGTGCCTGCTGTCACCTGTCCCCACCCCCACTGATGTCTCCCACCTGGTGTCTCCCTGGCCATCTCCACCATCGTCCCTGGCCCATGGAGATGCCCACAGAGCTGTCCAAGGCCTCACGTGCTCCCTCGGGCATCAGTGATGGTGAACCGAGTGTCCGCCAGGCCTTCGGGGCGCGTAGTGGGTTTGGAGGGTCGTGTGAGTCAAACCCCCCCAAGCCTCGGCAGCGTGCGCTTTGCCTCATGTCATCCCCTTGACACTAGCTGAGCGCCACCTTTGAGCCCAAGCGGGGACACCAACCTAGTAAACATCCCCCAGTCCTGGGCTGACCACGTGACCCCAAATCTCACCACTCTGTTTGCTTGAGTCCGCGCTCTCGGCCCCAGGGCACAGGCTTCCCCACCGGCCGGGGCTCTGGGCCTGTTCCCCAGAACCTGCGGCCAGTGGCTCCCGTTTGGTAGCCAAGGAAGATTGTCTATGGCTGAAATTCTCTCTCTATATATTTTTTATTTTAAATAAAGCCACTATTGAAATGTAGCCCTTTCTCTCAGGGAATTTAGGCAGAATCCCCAACTGTCCAGGTCATCAAAAGTGACCTCACAGGCCAAACAGGTCTGACGCCCCTGACCCTGCACGGCTGGGGGCTCAGCGAGTGTGGGAGGAAGGCCTGGGGGTGGGGCTGCCTCCGGAGGCTCTGGAACCCTCCCCTCGCCTGGGCTTGGGTCACACGGCACCCTCCTTCCATTTCTCAAAGTGATAAACTGATCTTCCATTCCCACAGGCAAGTTCTCTCCCGGTCAGAAACCAAGGCCGTCCTAGTGACCGACAGCTGCAGGACTCAAGCTGCTGGGTCCCCCGTCCTAGCACTGTCTCAGGCTGGATTTGGCCACAAATAAACACAACAATGCAAAAAAAGATGAATTTTATGCAACGGATCAAAGTGGGGAGAAGCCGGGAGAGAGCAGGCTGACTTAACCAGGGGACAGGTCGGCCCCAGCGCCCAGCCTGGCCAGCGGTGGTTCCTCAGTTTCCATTCTCCACGTGACCAGAAGTGTGAGCAGGAGTTGTTTGTAGTTTTAAAGGGGCTGTGTTAGCGCCTCACCGGGCCCCCGGGCCTCCACCCTCCACGAGGAGGCAGCTCCTCCCCAGACATCCTCGCCGCTCAGTGGCCACACAGGTAACCGTGGGAGCTGGGCACGGGTGGCACCAACCCCATAGCCACTCTCAGCCTGAGCCCCACACAGCCCCCCTGCAGCCAAGTCAGACAGCGGGGCGTTTCAGAGGCCGGGCGCCCCTGGCCCCGACACCAATCCTGAAGGATCCAAGCCATAGTTCTCCACCGAATCAGACCCCGTGACCTTCCCAAGAAGAATGTGCTTAATGATCTCTTTCCTGCCCCGAAGTGAGAGTCATAAATAACTGACCCATAATATCCCACACCTACTTAAAATCGCATTACGAGGCCCCAAGTGGATTGTAAAAAAGAAATAAGAGGACAATAATTTGCAATTTAATAAATCATATTTCAATACGCAAATGAGCAGACCCAGAAGCAGCACAGTGAGGGCACCCGCTGGAGGGGGAGGAGGGTCCCTAGCGGCCAGCCACAGAGGACAAGGGAAATGCCCGCCACATGTGGGCATGAGCACACATTGAAATCTTGCAAGAATCTTGTTTCCATCTAGTTCTCGGCTAAGATGGTCGAATAGCTGGTACTCCAGGGAGTGCCCAGAGGACACTGGAACTCGGGTGGGAAACAGGACAGCCTGCCCCAGATGACTGTCCAGCACCTACAGGGGCAGGGACAGGGGACTCTAACAGGGAGTGGGCTGGGCCAGGGAGACTTGTGAAAGTCACACACGTGCACACGAGGACACACACACGAATCCCACCCCCACAATCCATCCGACACACAGGGGACACACCCCGCACCCCTGGGGGGCTGCCCCTTGTCAACTGTTGTCATCAAGATGGTTGACGGGGACAGAGGCAGGGTCCCCTCTCTCCCACGGCTGCGCTGTGATGGCGAAGGCTGGTCCAGGGGAGAAGCCCAGAGTGAGTGGCCACAGGGCGGCCATGCTCCACAGAGGGGTCTGTAGTTTGACCTGAGCCAGGAAAAAGGGGAGCAGAGCGGAGGCCAGCACCTGGCCACGAGTGTGCTGACCAGCAGGAGCGTCCCCTGCCCGCTGCTTCTGCTCCTGCAGCGACGACCAAACCCAAGACTCAAGCAGCTCTGGAGGCCCCAGTGGTGCTCAGCCAATGCCGACCACCCTCCCCTGACAGGCATCGCCAGTGCCCCTCCTGTCCCCCTCCTGTCCCCTGGGGGCCAGACAGGGCCACGTGGCTCTCCGGGCCTGGGTGCTGAGCACAGGGAGGCTGTGAGTCACCCGAGCCTGGGCGCCCGGCCACCCTGCCAGGGCCCTCCCCAAGCTCTGCTCTCTGCAAGGCAGGGTGGCACACAATGGGGCGGCCACTCACCTGGGTCCTCCGTGAGGACACACTGAGCAGAGCCTGAGTCCCCACGGAGAGAAGCCCCTGGGTGTGGGGACTGCTGTGACTCCAGTGTGACCCGCTGCCTGGCAGGGTGTGAACTGACCCAGATCCCAAGAGAGACAAGGCCAGCACTGACGCGCCCCATGTCCATCCTAAGGTGGCGGGCGCGGGGACGAGGTCAACGTGGTAACTAGTGTTTCCATTTAGCAAAGAAGGAAATGGTGTTTCACCGGCGGCGGGTGCTTGCTGGGCACTAAGCACTGGAACACAGTCACGTCCCCGGGCCTCGCGATGACCCTGGGGCCAAGCACTGTCGGTGATTCCCATTGTCCAGCTGAGGAGGCTGAGGCTCAGAGCAGCCCTGGACA